AAGACAAGTGACAATTATAAATAAATAAATAAAATAATATAAAATACTTGTCGGGCCAAGGGATGGGGGTCCTGGGGCACGTGAAATTATTAGTTATGGCGAATTGCACTTTAACCCTTGAACTATTCATTAACTCAGTTTTCACTCTCAGAAAAAATTCGAAAGTTATCATTTTGTGTAATGGAACATCATTTTACATACAATTTCACAAAACAAAAAATAATAGTATAGAGTTTATGATTAGAGTAGTTGTAAGTAAGTGTACATTTGGTTAATTAGTCCAATAAATTTTTATTGGACTAATTAAAGAGTTAAAATGTTGATATCAACATCCATTTATTCATATATCCGTTTTGCCTAGTCATCGTCTCCGGATTCTTCTTCGAGAATTTCGCCAGTACATATTATAACGAAAATCACGAGCATTTCATACTTGGTACGATACTAATTAACACGTACCAAATGAATCAGTATCAGTGTCAATATCAACATCCATTTATTTATACTATACTAATCGGCACATAGGAACTCAAACATATCTTCTACAAAATACAAGTTTCGATTTATATCACAAATCCCTTTTGCCTAGTCATCATCTCCGGTTTCTTCTTCGGAATTCCACATGTAGGCCTCTTAACCGGCCATTCAAAGAATCAAGCAAACAACATTAACATATAAACATAGGCTAAAATCAAATCAAATCAAATAGTACTAGGTAAGGTATTAACTAAACATCATAGTACTAGCTAATATATGTAATATACTTACCATATACCAGTCGTCCCCATCGAATAAACGAAGGAACGAAATGAGTGAAGAGTTTGATTGCATTCGTCACATAGTCTTTATCTCCCTCTCGATTCTTTTGCACCAAAACCTGACTATATATCGCCACATACCCCATCAACGCAAGAACCGCAGCACTTACCTAATTATTACCAAACAAAACAACAATGACAAATTCATCATTTAACATATGTATTCCTACAATAATATTTGAATCTAAAAAAAAAAACATGCTAAAAATAAAATAATTACCAGAGATAGCAAATTTGTGTCCCCACCAAATTGAATGGAAGCTATAGTTCCCCAGAGCAGGAGTATCGGAATAGAGAGATACGTACCACTAGTGCAAAATAGGTCCAACGATCTCATCCACACCGACGCAGCCCAATAACACCGAAACCCGAGTGAAATTCCCACTAGTGCAGTCATCACATAACTTCACAACATCGAAACATATAATGTTAAATTTTTCAAGATTTATGTATAAATGCACATATATCACTTAATCTCACGAGCAACTTCAATATTATATATACGAGGCCATGAATACACTTCAACAAGATATATATATAATAGGAGTAAATGTTGCAAGAAAATGGACAAATATTATGCATATACACATGATTTCGGTTAGCTTCTTAGAAGGATCTAGAACATCATAGATTTCTACAAAAGAAACAAGGTTTTGATGAGTTCATGTAATTAACTAGGTGACGTAAATTCATGACCGAATTTGGATATTTAATTTACCCTGAATCGATGCGGACGAGCCAGGCAACCCAGGGACCAAGAGATGCACCTCCAAAGAATGATCCAGTAATCAAGATGAAGGCCCTTATCTCCTGCGAATTAATTAAACTCATTACATTTTTAATTTAAATATCTTATTCATCTAATTAAATGAAGATTATTGGTTTTATATAAAGTTTGAATGTATACATAAAACCGCCTGGGGACGAAACATAGTGAAAGGATGGCTGCAAAAGAACCGATTGCGGCGGAGGAGCCTCCGATTGTCTCAGCATCGCGAAAGTAGAACCCGAAGGCCGAAGTTGTGAAAGCGAAACTAAGTAGCATGTAAACCTGTATTATAATACATGATAGAATTAATTTAACAGTGCATTTTCAGGAAATTAAAAACTCAGTCAAAATCATACGAGAAACGAAAAGCCGGACGTACATTATATATGTATATATATCTCCGTTGTCCGGAGCTGATCAGACATAATTGCATTCTAGTTTTCTTCAAATTGAATATAGTAAGAAATAATTACCGGGAACATAAAATTCGTATTTCCGGAAATAATTCATGATTCGAAATCACGAAACACGCAAACGTGCTATACTTGTCTGTTCATGTTTTCAATTGCGGCAGAAAACACTCTAAAATATATCATAGGTGAAACAAAAATTCCGACATACATAAATTTATCCAGAGCTGAGATATCATATAACTGCATTAATCTATTTATTTTCTTCAAATACCGTAATAAATAATTAACTCGATTTTGTTCAATTGTATTAAATCGGTAAAATTGAAGAAATTGCAAAATCACAGAGGATCGGAAACAAAAATTCCGACATACGATTAACATATTTTCTCTCACTTCAGGCGAAATTTCAATCAAATATCTCTACGGTTCCATTTGATCCAATTCGCCAGTTTGGAATCGGGAAAAAATTGAAGAAATTGAAAGTACGTACCAGCTGCAGGAACTTAAGGGCGACAGGCGGGAGTTCGTTGAAGCTCCAGCTTTCACCATTCCATTCCCCGTGGAAATACGCTCTCACTGTATCAACTGTACGGCGTTTCACCGTAGAGAACGACATTGTGGATTTTCCTGGTTTTTCTCCCAATGTGAAGATGAAGACAGAGCAGAGCAGAGCAGAGCGTGTGTGCGTGTAAGAAGTGAGGCGGTAAGGAGGAGCAGCGTGTGTTTGTATAGGTGTACTGTACGGTAGTTTGTTAGAGTCTTAAAATACCAATTTACCCCTAATAAGGGGTATATTGCTTTTCTTTTTACGGGTGATTTTAATTTGAGGTTAGTAGGGGTAGTTTGTGGAAAAGGAAAATGTGAAAGTTTAGGCGGGAAAGGAATAAGTTCTCCCTTTTTATGATCTCCGCCACGTGGAATTATTTAGTTACGGCTAATTGTACTTTAACCCTTGAACTATTCATTAACTCATTTTCACTCTCAGAGAAAATTAGTAAGCTATAATTGTGTGTAATGGAACATCATTTTACAGACAATTTCATTTAAAAAAAATGATGATAAAGTTTAAGGGAGTAGTTGTAAGTGAATGTACATTTCCAATAATTTTTTGGACCGATTCGTAATTATAAGAAAATCGAAATACTGTCTTATTCATTGAATAATTACGTATTCATACAATTGAGTTATCATATATTATAATTATATTGACAATCAAACGATGTCAAAATGTATATATGCTCATAAATGAAAATTCAAAACCAACTTATCTTACTTAGACTTAACATCATATTGCATACTATCACTTGTAGCTAAAAAAACAATTACGAATATTCAACGATGCAGAAAACATATATAGTAGCTAAAAAGTCACAAGTACTTCACACGCTAACATGTACCAAAATGGATTGGTACCGATTTCAATATCACAACTTGTTTATTTATACTATAAAATCTAATTTCCCTGTCATCGGTTCGACAGTATCAGTTTCCTGCCGTCGTACTTTCTCGGTGACCTCGCACAATTGCAAGCCATCTCTCGAATTCCCTCAGTTGCATAATTTTCAAAGAATCAAACTTATTTGAACAAGACGACCGGAAGCAAATTGGATTGAAGAATAGGCAAGTATTTTGTGCACAAAGAGGGCTAATTGTTGTTAATTTAGTCAAGAACAGAGAATTATTAAGTATTGCTCCATTAAATTAAGTAACACATTGTACCAATTAGCATGAAATTAACATAGAACACGACCAATTAATAAAATTAATTTGTTTAGTTTATTCAAAAAAAAATTAAAAAAATTAATTAATTTGTTTACCAAGTACAAATTAAAGTCGCGCTTCCCAATAACGATTTCAGTAACTGAAGATATTTTAAGGCTGCAGATATTTGCAAGACGAAAATTACTAAGTGCAAGACCTTACTTCATGCAAGACCAAAATATAAATAAATTTACTAAGATCAAGACTGGAAATTACAAATATAACCCCAATAATAATTTAGATATTATTAATTTAAATTAAGTTAATTGCTATTGCAAGACCAAAAAGAAATACAAAAAAAAGAATAAAAAAAAAAGAAAAAAGAGAGGGAACTCACTCACCCAACAAAACACCAACATCTTCTTCTTCACCCTCATTTTACACATTTTTTTCCACAAAAAAATCTTCCATATTCTCCAAAATCCTTATCACATAAAACCCTCAAATCTTACTAAAACTTGAAAAGAAGGACATTATGGATACACAAGACATAAATATGGAGGATTCTAAGGTCGAAGAACACAAAGATGTAAGAAATATTGTACTTTGTGATCGTTTTTCTCGTTTTTCGCACCTCATTTCACGTACAAAAAATTCGACATGTACAGGTCGAAATATCCGCTTTATATCGACACTGCAGTGTCGAAAATTTCAAAATAATTCGACACTCATTAACTGTCGAATTATATTGAAATTATCGACATTCTGGTGTCGATATTAAGCGGATTTTTCGACGCTAGTGTGTCGAATTATCACTGTTTATCACATTTATTTCTCAAAAAAAAGTTAATTCAAAAAGTAATTTTTACTTGCTTTTCGTGAGATTGTTGTGGCGGGGTTGGGGCAACAACGGAGTTCAACGGCGGTGGACTTCAACGGCGACGGCGACGGCGATGGGGTGACGACGACGGGCGACGGCGACGGGCCGACTGGGACGGCGATTTTTTTCCTGCACTTGATTTTTTTTGTTTTCTTCTTCCAATCTTCCCTCCTCGTTTTTCAATTGTGAATTCAATTTCTTTTTTTTTTTTTTTATTAATTTTTCTTTTTTAAATTGGTCTTGCAAAAGGAAATCAATAAAATAATTTTTTTTTGTTTGTATTTTATTAAGGTTATTATAGTCTTTTTATACTGAATTTAATAAAAAAAAATAATTTGGTCTTGCTCTAAGTAATTTTCGTCTTGCAAATAGTCGCTGCCTATTTTAATGGCCGCTGCTGAAGTGCGAAGTCTCATCCCCAATTTTCCAGTACAGTTACCTTCTTCTCCACAAGTACCAAATAATCCAAGAACCCTAAAATTCAAAATCACAGTTATCAATTGCGATATACAGACACAGTAAACAAGGCACAAATCGACTGTAAAACAAATGCAATCGCCATGTATAGACGCCTGCAAAACGGCCTTCAGCAGCAGCATCTTCCAGAAAGGTCTCCGCCGCCACCAATTCCTCGGAAATCCGACTGATTGTCGCTCGATTCTCTCTTTTCCGACGCGCAGGCGGAGCTCACATCAATTCATATCGTGCAATTTTAACGGCGGAATCAGTCCCCGTTTGGATAATTCTGAAATTAATTGCAGAAGAGTGGAAGCGCGGGCGAAGGGGAAGGAGAACGTGTGGAGTATAGACAACAACGAGGTGCCTAAAATCGACAAGGAGAAGAGTAGAATTAGGAGGAAGAAGAAAAGGGGAGGGAAGAGAGTGAGGAATGTTGCAAGGAAAGGTGATAGAGTTCTGGTCTCTGGTTCGATGTTCATGGAAGTTGAAACCGTTTTACAAACGCAGGTACTTTTGGATAATCTTTCGGAATCGTTCGCATTTGCTGATTTTGCGCCGGAATTTTATTTTACTGTTCATATTGTTTGCTTGTGTTCACATAGGTTTTATGTATGTTCCTGATTCTGTTTTTGCTATGTGAATCATTTAGTGAATAGAGTCTGACCACAGTTAACCTGAGATTTTGCGTTTCGTGGTATCCGAATTACTAAGTAGTCGCATTGAATAATGAATATGTCCACTCGATGGAAATTGGAAATTGAATTTTCGTATCAGTTCAATAAACGAGAGTGTATGATATTAAACAGTTTTGTCTGCGTGAAGTTGAATAACAAGGTGTCATGGTTACCTTTGCAGGATCCAGTTATTATTCCTGCATGGTATACGTTTGCAAGTAGTGTCAGTGGTATATGGAAGGGAGTGGGAGCAGTGTATTCGCCCATTACCGCAGAAATGGAGCCGATAGACATTGGAAGTAGGAATCAGAACTTATTCGATTGTTATACTCTGACACGTATCGAGGCGTTGCCATCTACTTCTGGGGATCAGAGTTCTAAAATACATCGCACGGTAAAATGGGTCACGTTGAACCCTTGTGGTGAAGCTCCGCATAATGGAGATGGTCTTGGAAATAAAAGACAAGATGAATCTTTGCCGAAAATTGAATCGTTCGACTTTGGAAAAACTGACGTGATGGAAGAAGATGTTATGGGGATGGAACCTGGTCTTGTTTTCTTTGAGGTAGTAACCAATTCAACTTCTTATGAGCTGATTTGTAGTCTTCTTATTTCAGTATTCGCATAATGAAGCTTAATTATTGTCCTGGAATGAGATTAGCACTAATTATAGACAAATATGTTTTTGTTGCATTATATTATTCGTATGGTCGAGTTTTTATTGTAATATTTCAAGAATGAACTTTCAGGATGGATCTTATTCCAGGGGCCCAATGGATATTCCAGTAGGTGAAATCGACGATTCCAAATATTTCCTTTCCCCAACTTTCAAGTTTGAACAAGTATGTTTTTCTCTTGCCTTAACGTTTGTTTTTATTGCTTTTGTTTTTTAAACGGCCATCTTTTTTATTCTAAATGATATAAACTTAGCCGTGGCAAATTTTGCAGCTAGATTTGGTTTCCACTCTATTGAGTGGTGTAATTTGTAATGAGAACAAATACACTAATTTAATCTGCTCTATACGTTCCCTTTTGTAGTGTTTGGTTAAAGGTTGCCACAAAAGACTGCGTGTTGTTCACACCATAGAATTCAGTAATGGGGGTTCGGATATCCAAATAATGAGGGTTGCTGTTTACGAAGAAGAATGGGTTAGTCCCTCCAATATCCCCGACACCAGGTATCGAATCTGTCACACTTACAGAGAATATTAGATTTGTTCATGCATTTCAAAATTCTATCTGTGAAGTTATTTTTCCAAATGCAACCTTCCTCGTTCTGCTTTAATGTATCGTAATTAACATGTTTGCTGTGACAGCGAGTTGGAGCTAGATTTGAAGCCGTTTTCTCAGAGAAAAAGGGTCCAACCATTAGAGCTAACAGGCTCGTGGAAGGTATTTGAAGTGAGCGCCACACCTATATACGGTGAAGATATAACAACAATCGAGGAACAAAACAGCACACCTTACGTATATCTGTGCACCGAAAACCTTAAAAAGAGAAATTTGCCAGAAAATGTCGTTTATTTTGGAGAGGAAGAAATGCTGGATTTGCAAGATGTTTCAGTTTTGTGGCTACCTGGTGGTGTGACCGCCTATGTGGATGTGAAAAAAGACGGCATTCTTTGTATAGGCGTTGGGTGGTATTCAGACGAAGGAATCAATCTTGTAATGGAAAGGGACTACGGATTAGATGGGAAACTTAAGGAGGTTCGATCCAAGTCTGAGATGAAGAGAAGATGGAATAATCCTCCACCTATGTAAGTTCTTCTCCAATTTCCTCGTCTCGGGATATATTTAGTAATTAATTTTAGTGTGTGTTTTTTTATATCAAGAAATTAATCGAAATTGCTTATGCGTGTTTTTTATATCTAAAAAGTGTTTTTTATATCAAAAAAGTGTTTTTTATATCAAAAAAATGAACCGAAATTTCTTACTTTAGCACTACTTGGCCATGACCATGCATCCAGTTGCAATGGAGAAATCAGAAATTTCTCTATATTCGGAACAGTTCTAGCTTCCCTATTTTTCTTCTTTCTTTACTCCCAATTAAGTTTTCGTGTTTTGTTGTAGTGAATTATCTACATAGATTGTTTTAATTTTTAAATATATATATATATATATATATATATATATATATATATATATATATATATATATATATATATATATATATATATATATATAGACACACACACACACACACACACACACACACACACACACACACGTATACATAAGTAAATTGAGAGCAAAGATGACATTTTCATCTTTTTTCTGGGCTCAAAGCTGACCAAAATAATATCTTCATATTTGCTACTTAAAGCAATTAAAATGTAAGTCGTATATAATGTTTTTTAATAAAATATTTGGTTCGTTTTATTTATTTATCTATTTAAATAATAGTTACGACTAGAATTAGAATAGATGAACATGGAGAGATCATTAGATTAATATTCCTTATAATAAGATAAAAAAAATGGTTGAGATATTTGACTTTTCATCATCATTGACAGGGTATTAGGTGGAGTTGGCACCTAATTAATTTATTAATAACAAACGCGGTCTTATTTTCTAATTTTTAAATATTGGACAAATTACGGCCACCCTGAGGTTGGCTCTAATTACGAAAAAACCCTTCATGTTTGGAAGATAACAACCATATCCCTCAATTATGTATTTTATCTTACGAAAAAACTATTTATTTCAGTAGATAAAGTTGACACTGTAGAGATGAATGTGTAAGACAATACAAAATTGAGGGGTTGATTGTAACTATTCCAAATATAAGAGGGTGTTCGTCGTAATTTGAGCATAGCTCAACGGATTAGCCGTAATTTGCCCTTAAATATTTGGTCCCTATGAAACAACTTTAATCGGTTAGAAAGAGAGATTTGTGTAACATTTTACTTTTTAACAATAAGAAATACCATTTATTGAATAATCTCTCAATTTACATAAACATAATAGAAAACAAATCCTAACGTGCATAAAGTGTTATTCAAAAGCAACCAATTATAATAGTAATTAAAAAAAAAATTAGCAACATGAGAATCAAACAACGTGATCACAAATCAAACCCAAACAAAAAAAAATATATTAAATAAAAAAAAAATAAAAAAAAAATAGCACTGCCTCTTGCCTAGCCCATCAACCCAAACACAGCCACCAAAACAACTGATAATCCAGCCACCAATCCAGTACTCCTGCCGCTCAAAGCCGCGGCGGCACCACCACTCGGCGGTGGGGGAGCAGATCCTGTGCGTGGCGGAGTTCCGGGGGTCGCCGGAGTTGTAGGAGTTGTAGGAGTAGCCGGAGTGGTGGGAGTTCGTGTGGGTGGTGAAGGGGCGGCGCCGCCTGCGGGCGGTGGTGGGGAGGCGGGAGTGGCGGACGCGGCGGTGACGGTGACAGCCAGTTTCTGACCGCGAGCGCAGTGGCCATTGGTGACACAGATAAAGTACCTCGTACCGGCTTCGGTTAGGTCAATGGTGGTGGGGCTGGTGGCGGAGGAGGATATCGGGCTAGTGGTGCTGCAGCTCAGATAATCGGCTTGATTTACTTCATCCACCGTGTGGGAGGGACCATAGGTGAACACTGAAAAATCATCATCATTAAAGATTAATTCATTATTAATTACTTCTTTTAAATGTTCATTAGAGTTGCATCCAATGTTTGTTAAAATTCATGAATAAAACACTCTCACACGACGTTCGATGTAGTTGATTCAAGTTGGATTAGAAAGCTAATTTTGTGAACCGCAAAATTTGAGTTTTGAATTTTGTCAAATCCGAATAAGAAAAAATGTTCGAAACACATTTGAGAATTTGGAACTGTATTAGTAAAATTGAAACGACATTTGCGACTTCAGATATTCCAATTACGAACCCAAACAAAACCATTCCGTCACCTTTTTATTTATTTATGATGGAATCAAGAAAATATCTACCAAGATATAGCAAGATAATGTGATTGGCGAAAACTTACGAAGGGAGTCGTCCGTAGTAAAAGTCTTGCCGGCGTGCCAGGTGGTGTAGTCGAAACCAGTACTCCAGCCTCGTGTGTCGCCGACGGTGTATGTGACGGCTAATGCTGCCGGAGAAATAATGAGAAGAACGAGGAGAACTGTTATTGCTTGAGCCATTTAATTTGATCACTTAATTGTAATATGAAAATTTTATGTTATCTCTCACAACGGAATGTGCAACTTATATAGACAGCTTTTGAAGTTGTAATATTTTTATTTTAATATCAGAGAGATATTCAAATACAGAACAGGTAAAAAAAATTCCAAAGAACCATTCAATCTTGTCTTAAATAAATATATATATATATAAATAATATATATATATAAAATGTTTGGAAAAGGAAGCTAACTTCCACACGCCTGTATACCTAATTCTTTGAATTGTTTTATATTAAGTTATTTGCCATACTAAATGTATATACATAATTTACTCAAAAAAAAATGTATATATATAATAAGAATTTATTTATTTATTATTTTTTTTCTTTTGATTAAATTTAGTTTATATATTTTTTTTCTTAGATATAATGAGCCGAGCCAAGTCAAGTCATCTCATCCTCTTTGCAAAAATGGCTGAGCTGGCCGATTTGTTTGAAAGAATCTTTAGAGATTTTATTATTTAACAATATAATTAAATTGGGTTTAATTAGTACATAATATATATATATATATATATATATATATATATATATATATATATATATATATATATATATATATATAGGGTTATTTAGAATAAATAGAAAAACATTAAAATTATTACAGAGATTAGGTTAACAACTTAACATGATGACATACTTTCTCACTTTTTCTTGGTCAATTTAATGATAGTTTTGGAAAATATTGTCGCGTATTGACTTTATCAAATAATCTTTGCTTGTTCAATTTTTTTTATAATACTTTTTTACCACAAGGAGTTTGTGAAATTGCTATTATTATTTTATTGGTCAACTTTTTAGATTTTTACTTCATTTGTGTAGAAAATGTGGAAATACTATTAATATTTTACAGGTAAATTACAGCTTCCCTTGATCCTGAAGTAAGTTTGAATTATGAAAAAAATTCCTCATCTTTAGATAATTACAACCAGCTCCTCAATTATGTATTGTCGTAATATCCATCCTAACAATGTCGGATTATGCAATAAAAGAGGATTTTTTTATAAGATAATACATAATCGATGTTTTTTTTTTTTTTTAATTTGACTTTACTTCAGATTTGCTACTATTTTATTGGTCAACTTTATAAGATATTTTTATTTAATTTGTGGCGACAAAGTGGAATACGAATTATAGAGTCAATACTTCACCAAACCTTAACCAAATCTTAGTTTAACTAAAGTTTTCATGTGGAGATTTTTAGGTTGGTCTATTTTGTCAAATCTTGGAATAATTTATTATTACACAATATAAAAATATCAATTAGAAACTATATAAAATTATTGCGAGAATATATATTTTACTTTTGTCCTATTTACATGTTATGGTTTGCAATAAATGAATAAATGTAGACTTTTTTTTTATTTTATTTTTTGCCAAATTAAGAACATTCGAAATGTATAGTTTATGGAAAATATAAAGAGTTGTTAAGACTGAGAGAGAGGGAGAGAGATTAATATTTAAGTAGAGTTTAATATGTGGAAGTTAGCCAATTGCACTGTGGAGAAATATTCAACCTACTACCTAATCTCGTATGTATTTTTTTTTTAAAATATATTAATGCTAATAACTGGTCAATTTTTTAACCTAAAGTCAAAAATATTGTTGTGAAATTATATATCAAGAGAAACAACTATATGAATTCTAATAAAATAATACAATGTACAAGAAAATTAAATTTAATGAAAAACAAAACCACATTGGAAAGGGATCTCCTATGTATTTTATCTGAAAAATAAAATATTATAAATCGATGAAATTCATGGGTGTAAGTTGTAACATAACATAAAACAAACTTTGAGAAAGTACGAATGTGCCCTCGCGTTTGCCTTTCCGGGTCGGGCCCATACGGGGAAAATTGGAAATAAATCGAATCGGGCTTTTTTGTAAATCAAGAAATGGGTCAGCCCGAAACTCAACCCAAACCAAAAAGGCCCTTTTTTCAAAAGAAATGATGGCACTGTTTTATTATGTGATTTTAAAAAATAAATTCATAGTCACATTCCTTTCTGGTTTTATGGAGTTAATTGTAATGTTTAACAATGCATAAGGTGTTTTATTGTAACGTTTCAATATGTATATATATATATATATATATATAACTCGGATCACGTAGGATACACGGTCAAACTCAAGACAGGTGAGATTTTTTTGTAATTATGAAAACATGGTGAGAATTTTTCGTAATTACGCCTTTACCTCAAGGGGGTTCTCGTAATTTACTGAAAAAGGGGAAAAAAAGCCATTGATAAAATTAGTAATAATAATTTAAGATATTTCATTTTTTAAAAGAAGTCCGCCTAATAGATACATTTCGCAATATCTATGATTTGGAAATATATGAAAACCTTGTAGTTAATTGGGGACCCTCCAGTTACATAAAAAGAGGAAACAAAATGATAAAGAGTACAAACATATTGGTCATAAGGGCATTTTCGACAAAATGCTCAAAACCATCAACGAAAGTCGAAACCAGTGACCGCTTCCCTAGTTTATTTACCTGGTTTTACATCTGGTAGTGGTTTTCCAAATTTCCCAAGATTTCCAAATGAACGTATATATAAAAATATAATCCTAAACGAAACAAATATGTATCATTTTTTTTCATGGGTGAAAATTAAAAAAAAAATGATTTTTATAAATAAATAATTTCCAATTTTTTATTTGATTTTAATTTTTGGAAATCCTAATTATACTTTTTATATTATTGTTTTATAATATATACACATTTGAACAAAAAAAAACAAATTCTTCCAAACTCAGTGTTATTTCTTGATCCCACCGACTCGATGCGATTTTAACTTTTAATTTTGGAACTCATTTTTCTTTCCAATATTCAAAATTCCGATATTCTTCAAAATTCCGATATTCCAATTTTGGAACTCATTTTTCAAAGTGCTAATATTTGATATTGTTTTCACTTCTATATAAAATATATCAATTTAAAACTAAAATTAAGCAGCCTTTTCTTTTTTCCTAGTGAAAATATAAGAAAGTGTGCACTACTAAAATAAGTATGATACATCACCAGTAACAAAATCAAGCTAACTATCAAACAAAAGAAACCCTTACTTTTTAATAAATACAACATAGCCCCTCAAATTTAGTGTACTTCCACTCCGTGACGCGATTTCGATAAATATCAGTAATTAAGTAATTAAGACATTATAAATTTAATATTTGGGGGCCCAAGGTTAAGAAAATTATAAAAATATCTACTTAATCATTAATTTTAAATTTAATTTTGAATTGATGTTCCAAAATATTATATATAATAAATTTTAAAAATAAGTACCGATACATAAAGTGTATATTAAAATATTTGAGGGCCCTAAATTTTCGTAAAAATTCGGGAGCCCTAAGCGACCGCCTACATCGCCTCCCCTCAGAACCGGCACTGCCCATGGTATTCCACTTGTTAAATAATCATACGCTGATTAGGAAGAGGAAATTTTTGAAAGCAAAAGGACGAAGGGAGTCATGTGCTATATATTGAAAGTAGAAGGAGGTCATGTGAGTTCAAACCCCCGGGGGTGGGGGTAAATGCTATTTACTCCTTTTTTCATTCAACATTTATAATTAGAAGCCCGTACGAGTTGGTATAACAAACGAGCTCAATATATTTAATAATAATATAAAGGGAAAAAAATGGGTTGGGGGGTGGGTGGCAACTCCCACTATCGCACTATAGGTCAGTCCATGTTTACATTTTCGTGTGTATTGCAAGCTATTGCACGAGAGCAGAAGATTACCTGGTAATTCATTCGTCATCGAATAGATAAATATAAGATTCATAACAAGAAATCTCAATGAAATCACTACTTATTTCAGTGCAATAAATTCTATTTTATTTTATTTTTCCAAGTGGGAGAAGTGGCTTACTTACACCTTTTTGTCCCTTTCCCCATCACACATTAATGAAGCGAAAAAAGTCGAATTAATGCAGCCAAACAAGTCGCGCATTATCATGACAAAGGATTCATCCTACATTCAGTAGTATCCTATATTCAATTCAACTCTCTGTACAAGAAAACACTTGTCCTTACATTAATTAACACGTCGATTGCATAATACTTACTTGTAATGTTTTCGGCTTTATAAATAACGGGCAAAACTCTATCACTTTCATCAACTTGTCATAAAACCAGTAACTTCGAGAAATACTAAGAAACCAAACAAAAAAAAAACGAGATTTGATTATGGAAGAAAAGAAAGGTACCTCAAAATGTTCTTTCACGAGTGCAACGACACTTTCACAAATGGGCATAAACAGTGTTCCCGATTGTTACATACTTCCTCAATCACACCGCCCGACCCTTGACCATGGCCCACATTCCTCCACCGTATATTTGCCCGTTATAGATCTTTCCTCTTTAGGAAACCCTTTGCTTCGATCAACGGTTATAGAACAAGTGCATGTGGCATGTAAGGAACTAGGTGCTTTTCAGGTACATTACTTATTAACAAACTATACATATAGTTGCATAAAATCAGTTCAACTATAAAACGAAGTTTTCCAAGAAAGTAATTACTAGGCAGAGTATTCTTTGTATTGAATATATTTATTTCTTCACTTTTTTTTTTTTTTCCTTTTTTTTACTACGTGCATGAGCAGACATGTCGTCAACTTTTTTCTACGTCATGCATGCATTTTTAACGTTACGAAAATACGTACCACCTTATGCAGGTGATCAACCATGGAATTCCGATCCCGATTGTCGATCAGGCACTAGAAGTTGCTGCGGAGTTTTTCGATATGCCGAACGAAAAAAAGATGCGTATTGCCTCTACTGATGCTCGTGAGCCTGTAAGATACGGGACCAGTCTGAATTACATCAATGATAAAGTTAAATATTGGAGAGACTTTATCAAACACTACTCTAATCCAATCTCAAGATGGATCGATTTGTGGCCGTCGGATCCTCCAAGTTACAAGTAATCAACTCACAAAGCTTCTCTTTTTTTTTTTAAAGTAAAACGGAGAATATTTATTCTCGAAATCTAATGTATTATTTTTTGCAGGGAGAAAATGGGGAACTACGCAAAGGCTGTGCATATCTTGCATAAAGAGCTAATGGAAGTATTATTCGAGAGCTTAGGTCTAAAACCAGACTACTTACAGAACGACATCGAAGAAGGCTCACAGGTCATGGCAGTAAACTTTTATCCTGCTTGCCCAGAGCCGAATCTAACACTAGGCCTTCCCCCACACTCGGATTATGGACTGTTAACCATTTTACTCCAAAATCAACGGGGCTTAGAAACTATGGACAACGACGGAAAATGGCAATCCGTTCCTGTAATAAAAGAAGGGTTGGTGGTTCAGTTGGGCGATCATATGGAAGTACTGAGTAATGGCCGATACAAAAGTGTCGTACATCGAGCATGCCTTAACTCGGAAAAGAGGCGTCTTTCGATTGCAAGTCTTCACAGTTTGGAAATAGAGAAGAAAGTAATACCTGCTCAAGAACTTGTCGATGAGCAACATCCGTTGGCCTATGAAGGAGTGAGCTTCGGAGACTTTCTGCACTTCCTTTCCAAAAACGACATCCTGGAAGGAAGATACATCGACACGTTGAGAAAAAATCCACAGATAGATGCATAAGAATTTTGTTTTATCGTTTTTGTTTCCTTCTGAATTTACTAGTTACAACATATACACTGACGTGTATGAATAAAAATCACTACAGTTTTGAATGTTCTTTGAGTGTAAAGTAAAGCATGTCTCGGATAAAAAGACCTTTGTGTGAATTGGTGAGAACCCGGTGAATATAATTGAAACCCGTGCAAATATCAAGAAAGTGAACATTGAAATACATGCAAAATATGGTAATAGGTAGCATTTATTTACGGAATTTTATTTTATCATGTAGATTAAACATTACTCTTTGCTGGGAAAGCCACGAAGTTTCTAACCATACGAATCATTTAAAAAAATGGAACTCAGAACATATTGTTACGGAATAAAGGATCGAAAGATAAGTCATCTGTATTTCAGTCTTTTCACTGCTTATTTGCTTTTACATGCATTCTTTTTGCAAAATACCGGAGAAAGTAAAGCTTTAGTTGTTAAATGAGTACTTCTCGTATTAGAACTTTCTTGGTCTCGACTGTTTTAATAAAAAAAATTGCAGTTACCAACCATCAACGCTAGGTTCAAAAACGAAACAATAGTTGAGAAGGAAATAAATGGAATATTCTTATACAAATATATCAAAAGATTGCTGTGACTGAGCTACACACACCATCTACAATAGATTTGTTTATTTAATTTTTTTTTATAAAAGAGAGAGAGAGAGAGAGAGAGAGAGAGAGAGAGAGAGAGAGAGAGAGAGAGAGAGAGAGAGAGAGAGAGAGAGTAGTACGAAACCTGAGGCTCAAACTTGAAGACTGCAACCAAGTGACATCCCTCTTAATTCTCACTGAAACAAGGGGCGTGCATTTTCATTTCAGATACTTTATTCAAGAGAGAAAATGTGCAAAACCGGTATTTGCCTCTCCCATTAATATAAGCTCGAGGCGGTTGAGGGGTGTACGTGGTGTGACGCACTTGATTTGTTAACAATTTGTCTTCTTCGGGAAGTAAAGCAAGATGAACGCGCTGTTTGACTTTGAATATAAATAATATCCATTACTCTTAACCTTCCAACAGAAACAGCTGCAACAATTGAAAAACGACAGATTTCCGTGACGAATATAGCATATGATCTGCCACTACAACATCATTCTTTGTTGCGAGATTTCAGCTTCTAGCGTCACGGATTCAAAATTTTCGACACTTCGAGGGTGAACACGCTTCCCGATTATTTGGAGGCTACAAATATGTCTCATCAAATTTTACCTTCTCATTTTGGACAGTAAACTTAATATTGTCGTCTTTTTCTAGAAATGTGCATACAATAATTGGAAGTTTGGTTAAAAAACTTTCTATATTGAAGTTTTCCCATATCAAATCACATGTTGTGCAGGCAAATACAATTCATACCCTTTTTTTTTCCGTAATAAAGAAAATCGCAGCCAACCATATAGGTACAATGGGTAATCCTAAGCTCTCGTATAACAGTTTGCAAAGCATACGAGAGACGAAAACTACACTAGGCTAACTATGTGTGAGAAGCTCAACCTAGCGTTGGCATACATAAGTATTAACCACTAATCGAATATCACCAACCGCAATTAACGAAAATCAAACACGTAATCGAACAATTTAAAAAAAAAAATTTAACAAAAACCACATGCGTTGATTCAGAATTTACGATTAAAACCAAAAAAAAAGGTCTAATTCCCGAGCAAAAAATCGATTTTCATGCAGTCATTAGCTTTTGATTTTCATTCCGAAACTCAATTGGATGTTGAAAATAAGAAAACCAGCACGTACGAAGGTCATTACCTCATTGTCGGAGGCGGCGCCACCTGTTCCGTCGGCTCGCAGGCCGCAGCGCCATCTCCTCCTCCTCCTCCTCCATGTGTCTTCTTCGGTTTTTCCTTTTTCCAATTTTAATTTTCTTTTCTTCAGCAAATTGTAATTAGAGTTGGGGCCCATATAGATTGGGCTTTTGGTGTTTCTGTTTTAGAAAGTGAATGGGCTCTCTTTATAACTCTTACGATTTATGATTCGATTCATCGACTAGTTTCGAGTTGTTGAAATTTACGATTTATAATTTGATACATTAACTTTCAATGGTTTCGAGTATTGAATTTATCTTCTTAATGACATTATGGTTAAACTCTTACAATATATGATCGATTCATTGACTGGTTTCGAGTTTTGAACTAATCTTCGTAAAGACATTACATTTTTTTGGAAAATTTACCGATTTTCAACAATTTATTACGTTTTATACAACTTTTGTCTCTAGTTCTTATTTGCTTCATCTATTTAATGATCAATTTAATAAAAAAATTATGAATGAGTCTGTATTATTAAATATGTATAAATATTAATGTTGTTACCGATATCACGAATACATTCTATTACAATTACTATTATCATGTATTAAACTAATCATTATTTTTACTTTCGAAATGTTATCACCTGCATCGCACAAGTAAAGAATAAACCCGTAAAATTAGAATTTCTTTCAAGAAGCCCAAGATGGTGACTTAATTCATCTTTGAACTTAGGCCGGACTGCAAACTTGACATTCAAACAACACCAAACTCACTAATTAATTATTAGATGAATTAATTAAATGAGTAAAAATTATTAGCTCTGGATTTAAATAAAAATAAATTGAAATGATTGGAAAAATATCTCTGAATCCCCCCTGTTCAATACCCACGACTCCATACAGATTATACAGCTAAAAAAAATTTCAGTTAATCACAAAATTATTTAACAATATTAAAATAATATTAAAATATTAGATATGCTCATCATCTCCTCGGAAGTGTGAGAAGATAAGGTTGGAGTTTATTGAGAGTTTAATTATCTCCATATTTATCTACACACCTTTAATAAATATAATATAATTAAATTTAGCTATGTATGCTTCGTATCGGACCCGAAACCTGCCCGTTCATAGTTCAAAATGAAATACAAAATAAGGCCCCAAAACGGGCCAAACATAGCCTACATTTATTTTGTAATGCAACCACCAAATAAACTAGGGATAAATCCAAACTCAAATCTTCCTTTGACATATCCCTGAAGATGCGAAAGTACTATACTACCCTTATATGCAATTTTCGGCCAAACTGCATTGAGCATTTATGGTCCTGCATTTATTATTTTCGCTGATTTATTTATTATTATTTTCCTTTTTTTTTTTTTAATTATAAACCTGTTTGTGTTATAAAACTATGGACTTTAGTACATTAGAAAGTATGGTATTGACAAGTGTCCTAGATAGGTGTCACAATTAAATTATAGAAGTTACCTAGTGATGATATGTGTAATGGTGACTAAGGCATTCTCATGCCTATAAATACTTGTATTTTGTATTGAAATGAATGAGATAATATACGACATTTGCTAGCATCTTTCTCTCTACTCTCTCTCTCTCTCCTCACATACTCCCTCTATCTTTCCCACTCACACAATTATATTATATTATATTGTGAATGATATTATATTATATTAATTAGTATATATACATATATACATATCCGTATATCCTAATATATACATACATATGTATATATTAGTTCCACATTAAAAACTAGTTAATATTGATTAATTAATAATATTCACATCATTAGTGTTTCTAATAAAATATTTAATACATTAGCTAATGGGAATTATTTCACAACAGTTTGTTAAATTTATATATATATATATATATATATATATATATATATATATATATATATATATTATTTAATTTTTAAATTTTTTTAATTTTTTTTAAATTAAAAAAAAATAATTTTTTTTTTTTTTAATTTTTCTTTTTTAATTTCCAAAACAGTATGTTTACAGTACTGAAAATAACTACATGTAACTTTATATAATTACAAAGGACAACCTTCCTCTTTATAAGTATTTATAAGTATCAGTGCATGCATTACTACATTCATTGTAACTGTACATAAAGGACAACCTTCCTCTTTTTCTAAATTAAGGATCTATCTCATCTATTTTCTATTTTAAGGAAAATTACCAAATTCCTGAATTGGGTCTGATTTCCAAAACAAAAATAACCTTTTAACTATTCACAACCAAAAAACACCTTTAACTACCAACCCTAGTTAGGAGATTCAACCCTAGTTATAGGAGATTCTGTACATAGTCTCTCTATTATTAGAGTAGATGTCTAGGGTTCGAATCATGTCTCTCTCCTATTTCCCGTTGAATTTCTCAAAAAAAAAAAAAAACATTTCTTCCTAACTATGGAATGGAAAAATTTGTAATATCTATAGTGCACTCGAGGTTACATAAAAATACAAATTACCAATATATCCTCAAAAGTACAGTTCAATTACCCGATAAAGCCGGAGTATCCGTTATTACTAAAAGCAGCCACGTGTTCCCTAATTAGAAAAAAAAACATTTCTAAATTTGGGTTTGAAGGTTTGAAGAATTCGCGTGCAGATTTTGGTAGTGGTGTTTTACGAGGGGATTGATTTTTTTGGCAAACTCCATCGTCATATAGTTTCAATCTGAAGAATAAGTGAAGAGCTACTTGAGGAACCCGTAGAAATAAAAGAAATAACCGAAGATAGGTGTAGTGAATCAAACACTCGTATGATCACGATTAACACCCTCTTAAATGATGAACAATGCAATATAACTCACATACACAACAATTAGTACACAACGGTCATAATTTAGTCCGAAAGAAATATTACACTTAGCCCCTATCATAAAATAATATTATTACAATTGCCCCTGATAGTAGAATTGGTATTTCGAGGAATATTCCACGAATAAAAGAGATTCTGTAAAAATGCACACCATCAAGAGAATGTAAGACTACAACAAACTTCAAATAAATTTATTTTTATTTTGGGAATTATGGATAAGTGAAGGTTTTTTTTTTTTTTTTTTTTTTTTGCAATTTTACCTTAGTTCAGGGGGTTTATCGTAATTTACCATATTTGGTAATTATGGATAGGTGAAGGGTTTTTTTTGTAATTTTACCTTAGTTCAGGGGGTTTATCGTAATTTACCGTATTTGGTAATTCTTACAACTTATAAATAAGGGCAATTTGCTACCATATACCAGGGAAACAAGAAACAGAAAAAAAAAATCAGGTTGGAAAAAAATGGGAGAAGAGAGAAAAAAATACCTCATTCACAAGTGCAATGACAGTTTCACAAATGAGAAGAAGAAATGTTCCGCAGCGTTATATACTTCCTCTCCAACATCGCCCCACACTAACTGACCGTAACCCGATGCAGCAGCATTGCTTCTTCACTAGGCCTTTGCCCGTTATAGATCTCTCCTCGTTAGACAACCCTCTTCTTCGATCACGCCTCGTCGGTCAAGTTTCCCTCGCCTGCAAGGAATTCGGCTTTTTTCAGGTTTTCAAATCCATCTATTAGCATAAAAATATAGTGCGGAATGCAATAAATGTAAGAGGTTAATGTTTTGTGCAGGTGATCAACCATGGAATTCCAGTTTCACTCACAAAAGACGCACTGGATGTTGCTCAAGAGTTTTTCGATTTGCCAAACGAGACAAAGATGCGCCTTGCCTCCGATAATGTCTGCAAACCGGTAAGGTACGGGACCAGCCTAAACCACGTCAAGGATAAAGTTCAATATTGGAGAGACTTCATCAAACACTACTCACAGCCAATCTCTACTTGGATCGATTCTTGGCCATCGGATCCTCCAACCTACAAGTAAGCATCTTACAGTTACACATACCCTAAGCAACCCATTAACCAAAATACTAATGTTTTGGTTTGGCCCCCTTCTCGATTTATTCCCCCATTATGAAATTAAGTTCGTAAAGCTTCTGAGAAAGAAAAAAAATAAAGAAAAAAAAACCCTTCGCTCTCCTTATGAGTTAACTGTTATGGTAGAGCAATCATTGGCCGGTTATAATGTAAATTGTCTCTTCTGAAATATAAACAAACATGCTTTATTTTCAACTATTGTCCTAAAACATATTATGCCTTAGTAAATTGAAATATAGACCCGAAAACGGGATTCTAACTAAAATACTACTAGCATTCTTATTTTCAAGGTTCTAATGTGGTATAATTGTGCAGGCAGAAAATGGGGAAATACACCAAGGCGATAAACGACCTGCACAAGAAACTAATGGGACTAGTATTCGAGAGCCTAGGTCTAAAACCGGACTACTTAAAGAAAGAAGTCGAACAAGGCTCACAAGTCACAGCAGTGAATTATTACCCTTCTTGCCCCGAACCAAGTCTAGCATTAGGCCTGCCACCACACACAGACTACGGGTTACTAACCATTTTACTCCAAAATCAACAAGGCTTACAAATCATGGACAAAACTGGGAATTGGCAATCTGTACCTGTCATAAAAGGAGGATTGGTGGTTCAGTTGGGAGATCACATGGAGGTACTGAGCAATGGCAGATATAGAGGAGTTGTTCATCGAGCGGTTTTGAACTCGGAGAAGAATCGGATTTCGATCGCCAATATTCAGAGCCTTTCGATGGATACAAAAGTGGGGCCCGCTTCGGAACTTGTGGACAAGCGATATCCTGTGATGTATGAAGAAGCGAGCTTCGGAGGTTTTCTCAAATTCATCTCGGGGAATAATATCCGGGAAGAAAAATACATCGACACACTGAGGAAACAAAAATCCATAAGATAGTGATGTGAAATAGAGGGGATGATGCATAAGAACGATCATGAAACATGTAATATTGATCAATAAGTGTCATCAAAGTTCTTTTGAATGCAATCCAATAATTCGAGCAAATATCAGACAAGTATGTATAGTCATCCTCACATAAGTACTAAAATTGTCATCCATAAAATCATAAACAACCAACTGATAACTAAGCCAAACACATGCAATTTGGTCCGATAAATTTTTCTTTTTGCAGATGAAAAAACGGATTGAATTTTCATGGGAGTTTCAGCATTTTGCTTTACACTGCAGCAAAATTATCAGACAAAATTTTGCTTCCCTCCAGATAAAAATGGATTGAGCTTTTCTTTCATCGTTTTGCTTTAAATTGTATCATTATCATCATTTGTCAAATCCGTTGTTCGAGAAACCCTAATTCGGTGTTGGGCGCTAAGAAAACCATTACATACTGATATTTTAATTTTTATTGGGGATTCCATTTGTTTCTGCAATTACGTAATCACATATCGGACTTCACACAAAAAAATGGCACTACGGACTTTACAAAAACCGTATACAACTTAAGTAGTATAGACGAAGGCTTCGTTTGGTTGCCACTGTTAAATTCTACAAAAAAATAGGACTTAGTAACATGTTCGGTTGGCAAGATTCAAACTAAATCGTATCCGATATAAAAGCAGAGGCATGCAATTAAATGTAAATAGCTACCCTACCCATGCGATTAATTTTGTAGGTAGTTACTGAAAAGGAAACATATAAATTTATCCCTAGAATGGTAGGATTTGATTATTGTTAAATTATGAATGTTATTGAGAAACCACATTTAATATTAGATTTTAACAGTTTTTATACTAAATCTGTACAAGAAATAGAACATCTTAGTAACCAATAATTCAGTAGAGAATTAATACAATTCAGTGTACGACAAATCAATCCAATTCATGTAACCGAACGAGACCTAACAATTACTCCGTTTTCATTCAAGATTCAATAACTAGAAACCTCAATAAAATTACTACATTTAAAGTTCTTTATTTTTTCAAGTGGAGAATTGGCTTACTTCCACCTTTTTGTCCCTTTCTCTACGTTTTGACTAATGCAGCCAAAAAAGTCGCGCGTAATCATGACAAGGATTCCCGGGTTTCCTACATTAAATGTACCCCTGTACAAGAAAAACTTCTTACATTAACAAATAAATCCCATAATAATTGTAATGTTTTCAGCTTATAAATAAGGTCAAATTGCTATTATTTTCATCATAAACTAGCCATAAAACCTATAAGTTCGAGAAATACTACGAAACAAAAACGAAGTTGATTATGTAAGAAAAGAGAGATACCTCAAAATGTTCCCTAGTGTTACATACTTCCTCAATCAGAACGCCCGACCCACATTGCTTCACCGTATCTATGCCAGTTATAGATCTTTCCTCTTTACGGAACCCTTTGCTTCGATCAACGGTGATAGAACAAACACATGTGGCCTGTAAGGAACTAGGAGCTTTTCAGGTACATTATTAACTAACTAGAGAAGTTTATAGAAATATTTCCATCATTCAAAGTATCTTTGAATTAAATATACTTATTTCTTTTTTCTACGTGCATGGGCAGATATCTCATCAATTTGTTGTGTAAGTCACGTCATGATCTCATTGCATGCATTTTTTTAATGTCACGAAAATACGCACCACCTTATGCAAGCAATCAACCATGTGATCCCGATCCAACACTAGGCCTGCCCCCAAACTAAGATTATCGATTGTTAACCGTTTTACTCCAAAATCAGCATGGCCTAGAAACCACGGACAACAATAGACAATGGTACTGTTCTTGGTGATAAAAGAAGGGTTGGTACTTCAGACTAGCAATCCTCAACTCAGAAAACAACATCCTAGAAGTAAGATACCTTGATACATAAAGAAGAATCCACATATAGGATTGTTAACGCAAACAGATGCATAAAATCTTTATTGGTCACTGTTCTGAATTTACAAGAGTGTAGCGTCTGACACAGATTCGACATTTCCGACTATTGACGGGTGAACATGTTACCCAATAGTTTGGATGTTACAATAAAGTTCATCAAAATTCACCATTCTATGTTAGGAATGCGACACGAGAAAGGACATTAAACTTAATAATAATTGGAAGTTTGATGCAAAAATTCCTAAATTGAAGTTTTCCCATATCAAATCACTGCGAATGCTCGTAGTAGTCGCCATTTCAATTATTAACCACTAATTCACTATCATTGAACGCAGTTCACGAAAACCAAACACGTAATCCAACAATTAAAAAAAATTAAACTAAAATTAAAAAAAATCACATGCATTGATTCAGAATTTAGTGTGATGAGGTCTAATTCTCAAGCAAGACTTCAATTCTCGTGCATTAACCAGCGTTTCGTTTTTACATTTATAAAATCATTCATGCAAAAACAAACGTACGAATTAGAAAATTATCATTTCAGCTTAATAGATTACGTCTCGGGTTTTGCCCCCTTCCTTATAAGAAAAGGGAAAAGGAAGAATTACATTCTGACAAGCCGAAACGCGCAGCAAAGGCGCAACTTTGAGAAGAAACCCTAATTTGGTGTGGTGTTGCGACTAAAAAAATTAGCACGCGTACAAGGTTGATGCATCACCCGCGGCTTCGTCGCCGTCGTCGACGGCGGCGGCGGCACCACCACCTGTTCCGTCGGACCGAATCACCATTATCTTCTCCTCCTCCATACTTTTTCGATTTTTTTTGTGTTTTTTTTTTAAATCGGGTGATATTATCTGGGCCGGGCTTATAAACTGTATTCAGAGCTACATCAAATTTAGAAATCGAATGGGCCCGGTCTGTTATATATATATAATATTCTTTTTCGTAATAAAATATCATATTTCTTTGAATTTCTTCGAAAGCAAATATACAATTCCAATATTTTCTAACATAATTAACTCTACGTATTAAGTCGTATAGTCTTAAAAAAAAATCAAATATTAATTCCAAAATTTCTGGCTTCAGACTTGTAGTTTTCCACTAGAGATGTGAACGAGCTGAGCTCGTCGAGTTTCTCTTTTTTAGCTATAGCTCGAGTCCATTTTTGTCGAACTCGAGCCAAAACTCAATCTGGGGTTCTTTTTAATTAATATTATTTTTTATTATTAAAATCTATTTAGATTATAATAAAACATTTACCAAATAAACAATAAGCTACAATTATATATATATATATATATATATATATATATATATATATATATATATATATATATATATATATATATATATATATATATATATTATGTTCCTTTTATATTATTAATATACTATTTTATATTTTTGTACCTTACTTAAATAAAAAATAATATACAAAAAATATAAAAAATAAGGCTCGCAAGCCGGCTCGTGAACTTACGAAGAACTAGAAAAAAGCTCGAGTTCAACCCTTTTTCGAGCCGGCTCATCGAGCTCACGAGTCAGCTTAGCTCATTCACCACCCTTAATTTCCACCTTGTTTTTAGTATTTTTTTACCATTAATCTCTAAACATAAGAAATATCATAACTTCCTTTTTCTAAAGTTATAATATATTTAGGATATTGGGAATTCCGGTTGGAAGTTCACTGGCCCAAGACTAGGGGTGTGAACGAGCCGAGCTCGAGCCGAGCTCGCCTCTTTTGGCTGGCTCGAGCTCGAGCTCGAGTTTATTTTGTCGAGCTCGAGCTCGAGCTCGAGCTCGTCGAGTTCTTCTTTTTCTGGCTCGAGCTCGAGCTCGTGTTAATTTTGTCGAGCTCGAGCTCGAGTTCGAGCTCGAGCCCAATCCCATTTTTTTTTTCTTTTTTTAAATATTATTTTATTATTATTTTATTATTAAAAAATATTTTAAAAAATTACAAAATAAACACAAAATTGTGATTATATATTTTTTTAATATTTGTATTTATTTCTATAATATTTTATATTATTATACACTTTTAAATAAAAATAACATATAAAAAATAAAAAAAATAAAAAAAATAAAAAAATATTAATAAATCCGGCTCGCGAGTCGGCTCGCGAGCTGATGAACAACTAAAATCGGGCTCGAGCTCGGCTCGTCAGAAAGCTCGAGCTCGCGAGCTCGAGCTCGAAAACCTCGAGTCCGAGTTCGAGCTTTTTACGAGCCGGTTCGTCGAGCTCACGAGCCGGCTCGGCTCGTTTACCACCCCTACCCAAGACAGATGGATGTGGCAACTCACAAAAAAGGGCAATTTTTGGTGAAATCATGTAAGCACGAGTCAGATGCTACATCTGGTTATCCATATCGAATGAATTTGAACTGTAGATTTGATTTAATAACTACCCACTAAGCCAACATACATTAGATCGGTGGAATAAACTATAAATTGTCACAAATACAAACATTAGATCGTTGATTTGATTAAATAACTATCCACTAAGCCAACATACACATGGATGTGTTTGATTATGTGTAGATCTACATTTCAAATCCACCAAGTGTAAATAACCAGGCGTATCATCTAATTCCCCCACCGTAGCACATTATCGAGCACGGGTGCTGCGCCAACTTCATAAGTCTTCGGTAAAGTGTTCGGGAAGTCGTGTCGCAAAAAAAAAAAAAAAAAAAAAAAAAAAAGTGGAAATTAATTTGGAACCTTCCTATTCCACCCGAGGTCCGCGTCGTCTTTCTTTGGAGAACCAGCTTGGATATTATCCCGACCAACGCATGCATTAGCTCGACTCCTTTAATTTCTGTCGAATTTGCAAATCCGGCCATGGAAGAAACTTCAACTCACTTGTTTCAATCTTTTTCGCGAAATGGCCACGCTTTGGACACCACTCCGCGCACCCTTTCAATCTTCCACAAAAAGCCTTAGCCTGCTTGCCGAAGGTACAAGGCATTGCAACTGATTCAACAAACGGTCCAGATTCCGCCTCAACCTGCATGAACGGTCGAGATTACATTAACTCCCAGCAGGACGAGTTTCTACAAAACAGCATTGTGTTGCAAAGTTTCCGGGCAGAAAGTAATTCCAATCCATAATAACCAGAACATTTTAACTAACCCAAAAATGAAATCAACCATCCAATTTGAATCACCTTAAATATAATTTGCAGATTGATATCATCATAGATTCAGAAAACCATATTTTTTTTACATGAAATCAAAACTATATTGTACCGAATTTGAATTCGACCGTAACAAAATTCACAATTTTTTTAAGATTCAGAATACGGTGGCTCTGATGGCATTTTGTTAGAAATTTACTTTAAATACATACGAATCTCCAAGTACTTATATGCTCGAATCAACGAAAATTATACAAAAATATAAACACGCGAGCGGTACCTTACTTCATGGACTCAAATGAGATACCTTCACAATCTATCGACAAAATATTAGAACTGTAATTCAGTTCCATCAATGAATTACAGATGACCTCTAACTGTCTCTATATATTGGACCTATAATTATAGTTCGATATTCACAAGTCCAATCCAATAATCTTTATTAGACCATAATTAATTTGAATTGTCCAATTTTACTTTAATGTAGTTATGTTCAATTTCAGAATATTTTATTTTGATTTATTTTTTTCAATTGAACAGTAAAAAGACGTCGTTCGCCTTTTGGGCTATTATTTTCCTTTCAAAATTTATTTTTTTAAGAAAACACTATTTTCGGAAGGAAAAAAACCTAATTTTCCATCGAGTTCAATTTTACGGTTCAATCAACGAAATCAGACCGGTCATAACAATTGTTAGCGGTTTTAACCGGCATGTTTGATCCGGGTTTCGAAGCATTGTTTCCGTTCCAAACGAGACAATAAGTAGCACTTGAAATAAAGAATTTGAAATCTATTAACACTAAATTTATAAGTTATAACACTAAATCTACAACAGCAAAATTTGAAGCCAAATTTTTCATTTAACTTCAATTATTAGTTCTCGATTTAATTTAATGGAACCATATGAATTATTGGAAAAATATCTCTGAACCCACCGGCCAACTGAGTCACACGAATCACACAAAACAAAAATTATCTCTGATCACGAATCCATAAAAGATTATAGCTAATTTTAGTTAATTACAAATTTATATAACAAAAATATGTATTTTTTATTTATTTTAATTAAAACCATATTATATATACATCATATGATCTCCTCGGGACTATCTGATAAGATAAGGTTGGTGCTTTAGTGTCTATCTCTTCCGTTACCAGAATTTATTTTATAACGTAATATCAAGAAATAACTAATTATAGAAATTAATTCCCTCTCAAATAAATAAATAAAATAAAATGTTTCTCAAAAAAATAAATAAAATGAATCGGGAATTCCTTTTTAATTGGTGCCAGCTGCCTATCAGATCTCGTGACTAGGAATGTCAAACAACAACGATATGGATATCTGGGAAACAATTAAATAATTTGGATATTCGGGTGGATTTGATTAGAATTAGCATCTAAGAAAAAATAATCTCAGTTCCTATTCCTTAATCAGAAAGGTATGTGGTTTTCGGGTTTATACTATGGTACATTGGGTGAAATATACTGCATAAATCTTTATCATTCATAAGCCTCACAAAGACACACATTCATATTGGTGTGTATTGATCAACACTAATCTCACAAAGACACACATTCATATTGGTGTGTACTGATCAACACTAATAATTTACCCGGTGTAGCATAGAAAATTGTGGTTCCGAAAGTAAAAAGTAATTCTAATCATGTTCCGAAAAAAAAGATTGAAAATATCGAGAATCGAAATTCTAGAATTAATAGTTAAAAAAACTTGTTCCGAAATTGAAAATTTTGAACTAGGATCCGGGGAAACACGGAATTTCTAATTTTTAATTGTAACTGCGTTTTTTCGGTAACTTTTTTATTTATTTTTTCAAAAATCAAAATCAATCGAAAAACGAAATCTAGTATTTATTCAAATTAAGTTTTAAAAAATTAGAAAAATAAAAAACAGAACTTGTGAAATTTGTAATGAAAAATATTGCTCCAACATTAGATTTATTGATATCGAAATCGACGGAATTCAAAAATTCTGCTCCATATATATACCCATGTCTAAGGGGTGGGAACGAGCCGAGCTCGGCAGTTTT